TTTTTTTTTTTTGTAAATAGGCCCCGGAAGAAATTTGGGAAGATTTCAATTGAAAGCCACGTTGGCCTTAATTTACAGTAAATATGACATTGGGTTGGTGGACATAAATGCACCCATAAAATTTCACACCGAATTATCAAGAATCTGCGATGAAATAAATGAAAGAATTAAAAGCGAAGCGAATAACTGACAAATGCATTAGGCATTTAAAAATACAGTATGTAAAAAAATTTTGGTCTGAATACAGAGATTACAATTAAGCTTATGAAATGACGCTGTTGGGAATACTCTGGTTCCAATTAAACAAGTTATGCGGATCGTACTTTGCTTTAATTTCCACCAGGCGCTCAAAGTGTTGTCCGTAATATCTATGCCCCCAATCTGTCAATTCACTATCGATATAATTCTGATAACTATAGTATGAAGTGTAATATTCTTGAAATATCAAGCTGAAATTCTTAATTTCTTCCAAACACTCTTGTCTTACAATCTCGTCCACTCCACGCAACTTCATTTCAAATTGAAGTAGGTATAGTGAGTTCCGGTGCACAAATGCTGTCTCGATTGGTGAGAAATTGTTAACGACCCCACCGCCAAACAATTCAAACATTGCTAACGTGCGACATTTCACCGTGTTTATAAAGGTTTGCAGCACTGTCACTGCTTCTTCGGAAAGTCCAGGCGGATCGATGAAAAATGATTTTACCTTAGATGGTTCGGGGTCAAAGCCTGGATTAATCAGGTTCTCCAAATTACCACCGCCCACAAAACTCAGTATCTCCTCGTACCACGTCGCTTCGGTAAATACGGTCGATATCGGACTCGAGTGATTCAAATAATCCGATAACTTTGCTTTAGCCTCTTCAAGTGAACCGAGATATGTACCCATGCAAAACAGGTTGATTTCATCCGCTGATGCGCAACTGTTATTTCCCCATATCTCCCTCGGAGACAATGTTAGATATAAGGAGAAATCTTCACTCAACAACGTTCCAATTCGACCATAGGCGTCAAATACATTTTGAATATTAGAATCATCATAGGACAGCTGAAAATAGGTGACCTTTTCGGGGATGGGATAAATTTTGATGTTGAGAGAAGTGATGATACCATAACCTGCGTTTCCAGCGCCACTGAGGGCAAAGAAGAGATCAGAATGAGAGGTGCTATTCACTGGGGAAAGGAATCTTCCGTCGGCCAAAACAACTTCGGCAGAGACAATATTGTCGGATGCCATTCAATATTTTCTACCAATGAATCCGTATCCCTATACAATTGGCAGCTAGCAAACAACGAACATTGGAAAAAATTTTCCTTGGAAGTTGACAGAGCCTTAAGCAATCAAAGCACAAAATCAAAATCAATAAATAAGCAATGGAACGTCATATGCAGCCATATTCTCAAAGCAGCCAAGCTCCATATTCCAAAAAGAAAACACCATAGAAGAAAAAGAATACTAAAGGAGGAAAACACAATCAAAGATCTACTGCTGCAGATGCAATTCTTTAACAACAGATTGAAAGCCACTCATAAAGCAAACAAGTCACCTTCCACATTACCAAAACAACTCAAGGAAAAGTTCCCAGATGTTCAACAACACCTGACCAAGCTAAAGGTGAAGTAACCACACAACTTCTTACAGCACTGGCTAGACTACATTCAAAAAATCATCTGAGGACACAAAGTCATCATCCAAGAAATCACTTACAGAAAGCAAGCTCTCGTGATCAAACAAAGAACTCTGAACAGACAAACATACCTAGCAACAAACAAAAAAACAATGATCACAGTATTATGGAAAAACCCAAGAGAATTATCATCCTGGACAAGATCATCAAAGATGAGGAAGTGTCAATTATAATCAATCCCAAAGAAATCAAAAATAGGATTAGACAATACTTCCAGAACTGAACTCCAGCTAGAAACATTAGGCTGATCTCCAACTTTCCCTCATGGGCTGCAGAATATGAATCAAAAAAGAATATTAATCCCAAATAGTATAACTCAATCCTTTCTGAAATATACACTAAGGAAATCAAAAAAGCAATCCAAAGCAGAAAAGCAAAATCAGCTCCTGGAAGAAATCAGATCACATACATGGCCTACAAAAAACTAGGGGCAAAGACAATATAAGAAATTTGTTTACTCTTTAACAGAATTATTAGAGAAGGTGATACCCCCAAAAAATAAAGTAAAGGAGCTATTTACCCAATACCAAAACCAAAAGATTGGCAAGACAATCTAGATATCACAAGACCAATTACCTTATTGAATACAGGAAAAAAAATTTTACAAAAATTATTTCAAACAGACTAGCATACTGTATAAGTGATCACAAAATTCTTTTAGAATTAAGCCTGGATCCTAAATCAAGATATATCCAAGGCATATTATTCAGTTAATCTTGAAATACTAATTCTAGCATTTAAATATATCAGGGTTCCTTTACAAATTATCAACATTCTCCTAAATATACTTAACCAAAGACAAAACATAGTCTTGACATGTCACAGACCCATAGCATAATATGAAGTTAAGGATAACTTTGAACAAGAGAACACAATATCCCCTCTCCTCTAGAATATTTTCTATAACCTCCTCAAAACTAAAATCAACAAAAACTTTATAGGCTACACAATCTTAACAAAAATAAGCAAAAACTTCCAAAAAGATTGATTGATAAAAAAGATCAACATTGCAGTCAGTGCCTGTTAGAGTCCAGTCCTTGAAGTGTTTTCTAACTATAGTTTTTATTTTTTTTGATTCAATCAAGATATTTATTACTTCCCCCTCTTTTATAATTATTTTGTCTTGAGTAATATATCTTTTGGATCTATCTATAATGTTGTTTATTATTGCTTTTTTGTTTGTTGCAAGGAAAGTTTGTTTGATTGCTATTCTTTGTTTGATAACTTGGTTTTTTTTTCTTTAAGTTATTGCATAAATTAGAACTTTATGGACTTTTATTGTTTCTTATATAAGTGTAAGCCAATGGGATAGATAGTCATTTGGATGGGTCTTCTCAATTCTTTTTATTTGTTGTTTGAAATAATTTAGGTTTCCTTGCAGATGTTTTGCTATGTTAGGATATAAGCTGTCTGTTTTCAAAGCCACCTTTATTTTATTTCTAAGAAGTTGTAGTTGTAGAAGTGGCCTCTCTACTGGCTTGTCTTCTTTAGATATTTTTTTTTCTGGTAGTGTTTCTTTTTGGGAATGTGTAACTTTGCTACTCTTAGAAGGTGGTTTTGCAGTTTGTTCTATTGTTTGTCTATGGACATGGGCTAGGCTTTTTTGTTATTCAAGGAGTTTCTATTTCTAGTGTGTTTATCCATATTTGATCTATTCTGCTGCTGTGAGTATTTTGGCTCCAAGAGAACTCTCTTTTGATAGGGTTGTGAAGTTTGTATATATTTTTGAGACAGTTGTCCACAAAAAATTTCTATCTGGAAACTTAAGGGCTTGTTGGCTGTACTTCTTCTACTTGCATTATCTCTATCTCATACTAGATTAGGTATGCCATTTAGATCTCCCAAGACCAGGAGATGTCAGTCTTTTTGAATAGTTTCCTTGATCCATTGTCTTAATTAATTTGTTAGTTCTTGTCTCCTTGTTAAGCTGGAAAATAAACTCCTATTATTCTTAATTTTTGTTTTTTGGGGAAAGGCTAAGTCTATATAGATGAGTCTTCCTGGCCATGTGTCATACTTGAAAATTTTCTTTGTTATCTCTTTGTTGAGCATAATATAGTCCTTGTCCTATCTTTT